TTGTATCGAAACCACCGCTTGGTGGGTGCTCACGTACTGCAGTTACTTGTGAAGGTACCAGATGCTGTCTGACAGGTAGCTGTAGCATCTCAATCTCAACAAGCTTCCTCCGAGGATGTTAGGCTTAAGGTGACTTTTCTTAGAAGACAACATCGCTCTGAAAACAGTGACCTCATGTGATGTTTTAACAGAACCTCATTTCAACAATTGATGTCTACTTGTAATTACTGCTGCTGATAAAGGGTTATTATAAAGGTGGGTAAAGCCGAACCTGTGCTGTGCAAACGGGACTGAACTTTGTTCAGTAAGACACGAACGGCGGTGAAGCCTACATCCCCACCCAGCGCGCAGAAGGGGGCTGTCAAGAGCATCCCGGGGCATTTGTTCTGGCTCCCTGACCTGCTGCAGGATCACACGTACCTTGGACATTCTTGACAAGTATTTTCAGCTTATTTCTAATACATTCCAATGACAGTTTAGATAGCTTGACAGGCTGTTTTAATGTTTAGCCACTTAAAAGTTCTTTTCTTTTTTTCTCCAATTAGCTCATCAGAACAGCCCTGCCTGAAAAACAAAGACATTTTTCTGCTCTCAGTGGCAGCATTTGCCATCCTCTTACATGAGCCTTATTCATAGTTGAGGACTTTTCAAGGTTTCTCCGATGGCTGAAAACAAACCTAATGAGATTCACAAGTCACTTACTTGTATTATTTTCCTCTGAATCTTCTCATCTGTTTATGTCCTCCTTAAAACACGAAAGCCACAAAATGGAGACAATATCATGAGGATTCACCAGTGTTAAGAAGAATAAAATAACTGACTCATGTCTTACATACAACACTCCTTTTAATCACCCTAGAACCTCACTCCTTTCCTTCGTCACCACATCATGCTGTTGATTCATACTCTGCTTCTGATTCTCTAAAATCTCCAGGCGTGTGGGGCTTTTGTTTCCACAAAACTGCAGCCTAGGCAGTTTGTTCACCATTTTAGTATTTTTCCCTTTCCATTTTGACCTTTAACTAATCCATGATGAATTTTACCTGATTGATTTCAGATAATTTTTCCAGCTATTCAAGACTACTTTAAATTTTAGCCTACCCTCAGAAGCGCTGATAGCTCTCCCAGGGTGGATTTTCTCATGTTTAATAAGAAAAAAGTGCCTACTCCTGCATTCAAATTACTTACTAAAAAAATTACCAAACAGTACTCCATCAAATTCTTGCAGACCTTATTTGATCACTTCTCAATTTTTGGTATCTACTACTGAGTTTGATTTTAGCCAGTTGTGAACCTAACTTACAGTAATTTTATCTAGACTCTTATTTCCACAGCTTGGTTAAAGTAAGATCAGATAGGCCATTGCCCAAGTGCATTCAAAGTCTGGATTTCCCCACTGATTTTTTCCTTACCGACTAGGCTAGTTATACTGACAAAGGCAGCAGATGATTTATTTTCATGATTTGTTGGCAAATTCACAGTGGCAGTCTCTTACCCCTCCAGTGACCACTAGGACCTTGTATTTACAAAAATAATGCCCAGTTTTGTTCATCAGGACGGTGGTACCTCTCCTGCCTCTGTAAACACTTGAAGATAAAAGAAAGGTTCAGAAGCTGATCGGGCCACTGCCCTTGGTAGTCTCAGGTAAATCTCATGAGGCTGTGTTGACCTGACTACATCTAATAAATACGCTTGAACCTGTTGCCATTCCAGCCTGCCTTCTCCCTTTCACTCTCCAACGTCTCTTCAATGTTAATACCACGTAACTCATTCAGTGTCACCGAAAAACAGGGCTTTTTCCTTTGTTAGCTGGCCAACCTTGCATGCTGCAAAGCTCATTTGATTCGTGTTACAATAATGCAGATGCATTAACATAACTAAGGCGGAGTAACTGAATATGACCACATTGTTAAATGTATCTGGTTTGGACTTAAATTAGCTCAGTTCTACACCAACACAGGTAGATCGCGTATTGCAAACGGCGGCAGGAAGGCATTAGGGGATTTTGCCATCTCTCTAACTCTTCAGAACAAAGGTTCACTCACATACAAATATTAAATAACTTGCAAAAGTCAAAGATTTGCTTTTAACAAACAAGTCAGTGTTTTCTTTTTAAATAAGCATTTTAAGAAGACCAGATACAAAAAGAAGTACTAGACTAGACATACTGACTTACCCTGCTACTGGTTGGCTCACATGCCACGGAATCACCTTGCCAGGGAGCATCCCTACCTCCTGATATTCTAGGTCCGCTTTGCGAGCTGGCACATTCCTGGGGTTTCCTGCATTATCTGGAAACCTGCCACCGTGCACTGGGCTTCTTTGGACAGTCTGTGACACAAGGAGTTGTTGCAAGGAATTACAGTAAGAAGTTTGTTTTTCCAATTTGTTTTTCCATTTCACAGAGTATCACAAACTGCACTTTTGTAAGCCTAACACTTACGAAGAAGTACATCTTAAAAACTTGTGTCTTTAAAGAAAGTACTGTCCACAGAACTGACAAAATACAGTTTCCCCTAGTAATTTCTTTAAACATTTTCTAGTAATTTCTTTAAACGTTCAGTTATTAAAAAAAGCACACACACAAAACACACCCAGTTCACCATAATTTTATTTTGCTATATTCCATACAATGTTCTGCGTTCTGTCCAGACCTCTGGAAAGTGACCAGTTTGTTTATTCTTTTCCCTGCTAAATGAGCCTTCATATGGATATGTGCATTTGATGGAAAGTTGGCTCCAGCACACTCCACTGTAATTGGTATCCCACTACACTAAATTTTATAATCCTTGCTTTAGTCAGTCCTTAGAAATGGGAAGTCCTGTTGAGTTTTAATTCTTAATACTCTGCATTTTTGCAACCAGCTAAGTATTGCATATATGCAATATCCTTCCTATATATACTTAAGTGTTATAGAATTGTAACATGTAAAAACCTAGATTTTTTTGTGCTGCCTAGTTATATAAAATGCTTTTGGCTTTCTAACACAAAGCGGTAATTGTTCGGGCATCTTTGCTTTCAATAGCTTATATAAGATAGTAATTCTAACACTTGAAATACAGCGTAATACTTCAAATGCAGAATGTTTTCATATCCTCAGTCGTATTAAATATAGGTTGTTTTTATTTACTTACTTTGACTAAGCCACTTGTCAATTGCATTCTCGTATTTTTTTGGTTCCTTTAACCAGTCCTGATGCCATCTAAGGTTGGCAATAACATTTGAGTAATTCTGACCCAAACTTTGTTTCCAACTGATAAACTGTCTTTTGTTATACTCCTTAACAGAAGAAGAAACCTTTGGATAGTTTACTATAGAGCGGAGTATTTTGTCCAAAGAACGTACAGTTACTGGGAATTTTATGGCAACGTTTGTTAGCTCATCTGGATCGGCAGTAAGGTCTGGAACAAACGAAAAGTCAGTTAAGAGCCAATTTGTATTTAAGTAAATCAATGAGTCAGTTAGGACATACAAGTTGTAACGTACCAAAGAGTTGTGGAAGTACTGAATGGCCATCTGAGTATGCAATATATTTCCATTTGCCAGTTCGAAGCATGTAGATGGAAGAATTCACGTTGCATCCGTGGAACTCGCTCAACACCCACGAGGGCCGAGGCCCTCTGGGTGACGCTTCATTTTCAGCCTTTCCACATAGCAGCGGTATAAGAGAATATCCACTGAGGTTCTGTGGGACAGGAATTCTTGCTATATCTAAGCAAAGATAAAGAAAGTCAAAATGCTACTGTAGCTACCGTGATTATAAAAGCCTAACATAATGCTACAGGTGTCTGAACGTAATTCTGTTTCAGTAATAAAACAGGCATTCCTAATTATTCTCCTTGTAGAACACAGGAACCCCAAAATACACAAATAATAAAAAAAAACTTAAGGAACTTTCCAAGGTCGGCTGCCCACCATCTTGATCAGAAGCAGTACCAGCTATGTCTAAGTCAATCTTTAACAGATGTCAGTTAAAACCAATCGCAATAGCCTCCAGTGATGGGTGGTGCTTTTTTATTTTTTTTAATCACAGTTTTATACCCTTCCCTTCTGCTCTGACCACATAAGGCAGGAGAAAGAGATTGTCACAGCATGAAAGGACTCTAAAAGCTCCATATCCAACATGGTCTAACCATTCATTTATTTGATGATAACAGTGCTAAGCTCCTATCTAGCATTCTTCATCAGTGAATTGCAAAACACTTTACAGAAGGTGGCCATTATGGTTATTACCTATAACTGGTGGGGAAGCTGAGGAAAAGGGCCACTTGCTTCTCTGATAGGGATGGAGATAAAGATGGTATCAGAGGTGGTAACAATACAGTGCACATACAGAAAACACTGGATGACTCTATAGCCTATTAGATGGCCCCTAGAAGATGCTGTAACTTGAATAAGCTCCTCAGTATCAACTTACATCACAAGTGTCTCTAGCTCCCAAAGACCAGGTCAATATTAAGAGGCTGCAAAGATCTCTCAGAGACATTCTGAAAAACATAGTTGAGAATCCCAGGGATGTTACCTGAACTTCGGCATGTCCTAAAAACAGGGTATGACAGTAGTGCTATTTTTAATCACCCTACTGAACATAACATATAGTCATTCAAAAGTCAACACTTTCCATTTCACAGAGCACTGCGGTAGTCTTTTATCTTCTGTTCTACGCCAAGTGGTGATACCCAGCGCATACAGATTGCCCATAGGTGACTTTTTCCTTCATCAGCATGTATCTTCCTTTTTCTCCTCTGTTTCTACAGCATATGTACCTGCCATTAATCTGTAGTTCTTCCTCTAGTAAATAAAAAGGCCAGCATTTGACTAAGCACTAGGAAGACCTGTAACATATAAACCCAGTGGCTTCCAGTGTGTGGGCTAAAAACTTGCACAAATACAGAATACATTTGAACAAATGAAAAGGGATATAGGCCTTCCTCTTCTGTCATCCTAAACCAGTAATGCTATTAATTGCAATAACTGAATTCTCCACATGCAAAGAGTGCTCCAGGCTGGCACCTTCAGCAGCTCCTGCTTTTGCAACAGAGATCCGAAGGTACTGCCATCCAGACCAACAAAGTCAGTGCTGTCTGGAGGAAAGCTTATGCTACATCCTGTTAAAAAACGGAAGAGCTGTTGCACTCCTGGCTGAATTACCCATATCACACAGATTCTGCTGGAATCAAAACACCTGTACCACACTCACTACAGGGTGCACCTAATCTCAAAGTCAGTAAAGGAGGAAGTATTGTGCAAAAGCATTTGGATGGCGTCTTAAGAGAGATTATTGCCCTGAGACAATGCAAAGGGATTACATCTATCACAAAAAAAGACCTGAAATCTGTTTCCTCGCTAGTCAGCAGTAGCATGCAGCCTGAAGAGATAATAGATGACAGAGATAATTCTTCATGTTTTCCCATTCATCTTGACGTATGTGCCCTTTTTGACATTCAGATTACAGGAAAGGGGAACTGCCAGAACACAAGGAAAGAACTTATAAACACAAAGTTCTGGGAAGAAAAAACAAAAGGAGAAAAAGAAGAAGAAGGAAGGATGTTAAACCACCTGACCAATTATGTTATTTGGGAAAAGGCACAAAGAAGAAAAAAAAAGATATTTTTAACTCTTTACACATGATACCACAACTTACATAAGAACCACATATGATACAGATTACTTTACATATATAAAAGATTTGATATCAGAATTTGGAGAAGAAAGCTACCCCAATTATATCCTATTTTCAACTGAATAATTGATTCAAAAGTTTTGAGAAGAGACAGGCAGATAAATATATTTTGTTCTGTTTTTAGAAAATCAACTTAAAACAATATACAAAAGGATTTTTCACTGGCTTTTACTGATAGAAGTACAGTTTTATCTACTGCCCCACGTTCTTTCAGGCAATTGCAGTGTACACGTGACACTTCTTAAAGAGTGAGCTTTGCAGACTGCTTTGAAAAGGACATTTTTCTTATCGGTAGCCTAAAAGATCCCAGATAAAGCCTAGAACGGCGACTTCACCTAATGTTTAGTTCCAATGAGGTTCATCTCTTGCATGCTTTATCACAGGTAACTGTTCAAAGATTCACTCTTAAAAGTAATTTCCATCTGTAAGTAATTTGATGTCAGTCCTTTTTATCTGATTCTCTGCCCCATAATGAATATTTCCATACCCAAGAAGGTAAGAATGGATATCCGTTATTGTATCTTATTATGTTTGCCCATATCAATTGTACATTTCCTATACAAAGTCTTAATCTCGTTTCTTCTGCATGACCCTTCATAAAGGACAATTGTTTGATAAGCTAATGAAACTGCCACCCTTTCAGGTTTAATCTAATCTCTGGATGCATTTACACTGTAATTTCTATGGTAAAATGTTAGGTATGAAGGCTAGCAAGGATTATTCATATCTACAACACATCTGATTGTTATTAAAAAAAAGGTGATAAAGAACAAATAATCCTATATATAATCATTCACTGTGATTGTGTTGATGACAGTAACAGTAATAAGGAACATCATCAGCTCCTTTATTTAATTTTTAGATCAATTTTTTGCATTTTTTATTAAGTCCATATGTATGTTCCACAGATAAATTGTTATTTCCTGTTGTGTTACTACATTGCCTCACAAAGTGGAGACATAATTCTGACTATAATACAAATGCATAATAATAGTAGTAACTGGGAAAAAAAAGTTTCATTTTAAATGACTTAACTCACCAAGCATAGTAGGATATATATCCACGAGAGATACCACATTTGGTACTTGTTGCTGTTTTTTTATGCCTGGCCCCATAACCAAAAGCGGAACATGGGAACTTCCTTCATACATGCTCATTTTATAGAACTGCCGGTGTTCCATAGCAAGTTCTCCATGATCTGCAGTGAATATAACGATTGTTTTTTTAAGAAGCCCAGTATCTCTCAGAGCTGAAATAATCTCACCTGCAACAAGAAAAAGATACTGAAAAGGATACCTCCAGAACATTCCTTCCAACTTCTGTACCTGCAAAGCAGCACGCAAACCCCGAGGAATCTTAGACGGAGGGCTGGAAACTGCCCTCTCTGCCACAGAAGGCAGAGCCCAAAGCATTCAGCCCAGAATAACGTACAGTCGTCAATGAGTTGCAGGAGTCTGGCTCCCAATGAAGTGTGGAGGGCACTGAACAACGACGATAAAAATTGCAAAAGGCAAGGATGCACCACAGCACAAGCTGCATTTTTGCTATCGTCACTTTTAATTTCTAGCCTAACTAATAATAGTTATTTCAACAGCAGTAAAATAGGTCAGCAGAAGCCCTGCACTACATTTAGGGTGAAGGACTCTTGACAGTATCCACCTTACACATAATCAGTGGAAGTCTGTCCTTCCTGTGCCTGCCTATACCCCCGCAGGAGCCCTCTGCACATACATTTATGCAACAAAGACAGGGCCAAGATCAATGAAGTCAGCAATGAAGCAAAGCACTTACACATCTTTAAAGTTAAAACACTAAGATGATTCTTGCTTAAACAGACTAGTTAAAAACTTAAAATACACTACCAAATTAAACCCCAGTGCAGATACTTTGCAATACCTTCATTTCCTAAACCTGTCAGGCTCCCGTTGATCTCTTACTTCATAAAACATGGAAGAGTAATTCTGTGTCTTTTAAATTACTTTATCATTCTAACAGTGCTAAAAAGATCAGCTTATTTATTCATTAATTTCATATTAGAATGCAAGGAAATTTCTGTTCCTTCATGGTGACTTTTCAAATTAAGAAATAAAATACTGTAAATGAAGACCAATTTGCATTACAATTTTTATGTATGTAGAACTTACTGCAAACTAGGAAGAATTCTGAATGCTTAATTAGTTTTTTTTTTCTTCTTCTTAACTTTCAATAATATGCTGCTAAGGGAGACTTCAAAGGTAACCTTACTGTTTAGTCTATGCATAGTAGGTGTCATCCAGTCTATGCATTTGAAAACAATCTCTAAGGAAACTGCTTATGCCCTAAAATTTATCTTTCCTTCCAGCTTTGCTTTGCCAGTCTGTCCCCTTTACATTATTTCAGTTAGCACTTAATCAAAGAGTATTTTGTTCCTCTTGTACATGGGTCAAGCAACACTTTGCTGCAGTTACTGGGCTTTTACAGGGTGTCTGACTGGTGGTTTTGATTACTTTTCAGGGTGCTCTGAATTCACCTTGCAATACCTTAAAAGCTATCCCGTTATTTATCATACAGACTGATTAAGCAACATCCATGTGACTTACTCCCAGATCTGAATTGTGCTTTTTCTTTTTTTCCAGAAGACCAGCCCTATCAGCGTTTTCTTAAAAAAAATCAGAACCAGAAAACCCAGCGTATAATGAAACATTACCTACCCAGCATGGCATCTGTCTCCGCACACATAGCATAATAAAACGCTCTAATATTTCTCACTTCTTGCTTTGTAAACTCTCCTGTGCAATTCTTGGTGTAAGATGAGTAATAGTCTACTGGATGCATCTCTGAAAGAGAAGACCACTTGGGTATTTTAATAGCTTCGTAAGTTACCTAAAAATAAGAGGAAATTAACATTACTTCAGCAACTGAATTAAACAATTTTTTAAAAAACAGATTTAATTTAAAACTTCTTAGCATAAATTCACAGTTCTCAATTTGTGGTCCAGGAAACACCAGCTGCTAATCTGTTACATGGTGCTGCTACCTCCTCCATACTTCCCCTCTGCTTCCACAGGTATTAAGTCAATTTAAAAGACAGCTATAAAAATCAGCTAGAAAGTAAGGCTAGGAGCCAGACGTATGTGCTTTACCAGCTGATATCTTTTTTTGAGAGAGATACTGCAGAACAATCTTCTAGAACTGTACTCTAGAGTAAGTATGGAAGTATTGGCATAGTGTCTCATTAACTATAGATAACTGTAAACCATATGTATCAAAAAGATCGGGTGTTGTGTGAGCCTACAGAACAACACACTTAGTCTGGTAAGGTCTCCAGGACAGCGGATGACAAATCTTGACATCTTGATAAAAAGAATTCACTACATTAGACCAATTTTCTAATAATTTTCCATTTGTTTCTACAGATGTCAATCCATTTAGTTATAAAGAAGTGTAAGATCAGTTTGAAATTAAAAAGTAGGAGCCAATAAATTACAAATAATGCTAGATTTGTATATTCAAATAGGCATGCTCACAGATATTGTGTGCTGCAGTACCAGCTTTAAAGGCTCAAAGTTTGATATACACATTTAGCCTAGGCAGTCACACTTGTAAGCATTCCCTTAAGTGCTGCATTTAACAATTAATTACTTCTATATTGTAGACTTAAAGCACAAATTACCACAAAGCAAAGAAGATGTAATCTCAATATGGAAAACTTAAGCTTATTAAATAAAACCTCACCTGTTGCTCTCATTTACCTCTGAAAATCTTCTCTAACAAACAGAGCTGAGGCCTAGATTATGCCACAGTGTCCTGGTTTCGGCAGGGATAGAGTTAATTTCCTTCCTAGTAGCTGGTACAGTGCTGTGCTTTGGATTTAGGGTGAGAACAATGTTGATAACACACCGATGTTTTAGGTGTTGCCGAGCAGTGCTTACACTAGCCAAGGACTTTTTAGTTTTCCATGCGCTACCAACTGAGAAGGCTGGAGGTGCACAAGGAGCTGGGAGGGGGCACAGCCAAACTGGCCAAAGGGACATTCCATACCATGGGACGTCATGCTCAG